ACCAATAAGAAATAGTGTTGGAGTTTATTCCAACCAATATGGACTCTGATGCCAGCACATAATAAATGCAAAATTTAAAGATAAAGTAACAAACTGTTATGAGAATGCTGAAACATGCTGACTGACATCCTCTTATTTTATTTTTCCTTATTTCTGCTAAAAATCCCTCTCTCCCATAAGCAGTATCACCATCATTTATATTATCCTGATACATAATACTTCTGAGTTTAGACCACAGACCATAATGGCAAGTTGTATTCTGAGCATTTCTTGCATTTAAAAAACAAACTGTATTATAGATTCATGCATATTCTTACTGAAAAAAAGAGCAATTTGACAAGTAACTGTATTACTAGTTTGTTGTCTACAGTTTTTCAGTAAAGCAAATACTCAAGTTTGGAACTTTGATTTCCTGAAATCAGTCAAGTTGTGTGGCAAATGCCTTTTTGGACAGAAGTAACTAAGGTTGACTTACATTATGTGTAATTCAAATGTAACATTTCATCTGAAGATAGTTTGAATACTGAAGTTTGAGGCATTATATATATATATATATATATATATATATATATATATATATATATATATATATAATTATTTATATATTATATAATTATGGTAACATGGTAACCAATATAACACCAAAACCATAATCTACATAAACCCAAAATTTTAAAAAATTAATCAGTTTGTGAAACCCAGGGTCATAAAACTCATATCAATCCAACCAAATATATATATATATATATATATATATATATATATATATATATATATACACACACACATGCACACTTCTAACATCTGCACCTAAACTCTGAAATTTTATTTACTTATTTTTTCTTCAATAGGAGTATATAGGTCTGCCTATCGTCTGGTTCACACTCCTCCCCAGTCTTTTGAACAGAAGTGAAGTCTTATATTTTCTGTTTAGGATTCTGTTTCCAGTTCCTTCTAAAGGCTTTCATTCTCTTTCAGTAGTCCCTTGTATCTAAGTGGTATTATTGCCATGATTGGGATGAATTGATTATACATGGTGCGATGGGTAAATTGTCACCATTTTATATTTTAATTTTGCACATGTGCATTGTATGTTTTTGATTTTGTTGACTGCACAGTATAATAGGGTCAGTTGGGTACTGTCTGTGAGAAAAAGAGTACCATGACATAATTCACTCAACCAGAAATTGGGAAACAACATGCTGTACTGCTTGGCATTTGCGGTGGAAGCTCCAATACGAACATTTTAGTGTTTTTAAGTGTCAATCTGAGGACAGTGCATAGGATTTGGAAAGAGTTGGATGAGTCTAATGGTGATTACAAAAGTATGACAGCTCAGAAAACTCACTCTGATTGTTCTGATAAGAACTCCTGAATTTGTTGGTAAGATCCAGGCCATAATTGAACACAATCCCTCCAAGTCAATCAGATCCATAGCCAGGGAGGTAGTGCTACCTATGTCTGGCAACAGGACTCTGCACCATTCCACACAAGCAAGAGAACCCAGTCATGGCTCTCAGACAATTTCTGTGACCACATCACTTCTATCTGGTTACCTAACCCCCAGACTACAACCCCTTGATTATTATGCATGGAGCACAGTTGAGCGAGTGACCAACAAAACTCTTTGTTCACCAACTTAAACAAAGAGACCATTCAGAAGTGTTGCAGGAGACTACAAAGTTGTCTGGAGGCTGTAGTTGAAGCTAATGGTAATATTATTGAATAAATTTGCTCCTTAGTATTTCAAGATATTTTTGTGATTTTGCTAAATATATCTGTTAAAATGTGAAGTCAGTGTTATTTTCATTTTTTCATAATTTAGACAATTTATCCATCACACACAGGACATTAGAATGCTATCTGATGATTGGTCAGAAATGTCTCTCTTTTGATTGGTTAAAAGAGATTGTTGATATTCAAGTTTTATTATGCTGTTATCCACTTTTTGTATAGATTTGTGCTTGTCGTATACAATTGTCCTCAGCATATGATTAACCTCTGTTACGTAGTACAGAGAAGAAAGCTAGAATAGAATAACCGTTTCTTAAGGCTTTACTGAACTTAATTCACAGCAGTCAGTAATCAAGAAAGGAAAGAAGTCAGAATGAAAAGGAAGAAGAACGCAGCTTTTAAGAGGAATGGGAACGTGTGAAAAGTCCCGTGGACAAGAAAGCTAGTTTCCTTTTTTTTTTTTTTACGAAAATATAACATTCTCCCCCACTTGCAAAAGAGATTGTAATTGAAAAAGTTTTATAAATCCAGTCGTTGGATTGGTCTACGAATCCTGCTAGACCGGCGTGGAAGTAGTTCACCACTGGAAGAGCCAGAGCTCTGAGAAGGCTGACTTTCAGGATTCTGGCTATTATTCACAGATTCATTTTCTGTAGAAGGTGAAGAAATATTAACGGGACCTGCATCAGGCAAAATGGTTGAATCTGCATGGTCCACGTCGGGTTGAGTATTTTCAGGTCCATCCTGCCGTGGAAAACGTGCTAACCGTCTCAGCACCACCGAATCTTCCCGGCCATCATTGTGACGTATTTTGGCATGCGTAGGGTTGGCCTCAAGGAGTTCCACCACCTCAACGATAGGGTCATATTTACCTTTGCCACCGAATCATTTTAGTAATACCTCCCCAGGCTCACAGAGCCAAACAGGCAACGCAGTACCGGTGGAGGACCACCTTTCAAAATTGAACAGTGGTTCGTGGGGGGTTGCATTCATAGTGGTGCATAGCAGGGAGGGGGTAGCATTTAACACATCATGTAGAACATCCTGCCAAGCACTAATTGGTAACTGTTTCGATTCCAGGGCCAATAATATGGTATTCCAAATTATGCCGTTGTAACGTTCGCATTGGCTATTGCCTCTAGTGTTATAAGCAGTAGTATTACTGCATCCAATAACAAGTCGTGTTAGAAATTGTTTAAATTCTCCCGACATAAACGAAGTTCCTCGATCGGAGTGAATGAACGAGGGAAGCCCGAAAATGGAGAAAATACTTGTCAGGCACTGAATAGCAGTTTGCGAAGAGCAATCGTGGCAAGGAAAGGCAAAGGGAAATCGACTATATTCGTCGACGATAGTAAATATATATCGGTAACCTGTCGGGGATACCGGGGACAGGCCCTTTGTAGTCTATGGAAAGACGCCGAAATGGCGCAGTAGAACGGATCAGAACATTACTAGCAGAATCGAAGAATTGGGGTTTTATTTTGGCACAGGTCGTACATTCAGAAGTCACACGTCGGACTTCATCAAGCGAATATGGCATATTCTGAGACCTTACAAAATGCCAAAAGCGCTGTACCCCAGGATGTATTAAGGAATCGTGTATCGATTTAAGTTCCTTCAAGGAAGAAGCAGCAGCACCACATACTCTGGATAAGGTATCCGCAACCGTGTTTTCATTTCCAGGACGGTGTTTTATGTCGTATGAAAAGGGAAGAAGTTCCATTTTCCACCGTATAATTTTATCGTTTTTAATTTTTCCGCGATTAGCAGGTTTAAACATAAAAGATACGGCTTGTTGATCAGTAATAATAGTAAAATGTTTCCCGGCAAGGAGGTCTCTCCATTTACGAACGCATTCGACTATAGCATATGCTTCTTTTTCGACTATATGAAGTCGTATTTCAGAGGGGTTTAGCGACCGAGAAAAGAATGCTACAGGTCGCTCAGCTTGTAAAAGAGTGCCTCCAATAGCCTTTTCTGAGGCATCGGTTTCAATAGTAAATGGCAATTCATCATCAATAACTTTTACAGATGACTCGGCAATGTCTTTCTTAAGTTTTTCGAAAGAATTTATAACTATAGGAGGCATAGGGAATTGTTTATTTTCGACCAGTGGACGAATTTTGTGTGAATATTTAGGTATCCATTTCGCATAGTAAGCAAACATACCAAGACACCTTTTTAACGAATTTGAGCCGGAAGGAGGAGGGAATTGCAAAAGTGGCTTCAAACGCTCAGGATCGGGTTGGATAGTTCCGTTACAAATTTGATATCCAAGTACGTTAATAGAACGAAGTGAAAACTATGATTTTTCCCGGTTTATTTCGAGGTTGTATGTCGAGGCAGCCTTTAAGAAACATTCCAAATTGACGTCGTGCTCCTCCTGGGTTTTACCGCAAACAGTTATATCATCTATATACGAAAAGGTTCCAGATAATTTGTTATCAGAAATGAAAGAATTCATAAATCGCTGAAAGGCAGAAACCCCGTTAGTAACACCCATGGGTATTCGTTTAAATTGGTACAGACGATTTCCAGCTTGAAAGGCCATATAGGGGTGATCTTCGGGGCAAATTTCAATCTGATAGTACGCTTTGGACAAGTCAATTATACTATAGATACGATACTGGGCTATTTGGTTTACGAGATCTTCAATTCAAGGCAAGGGGTAGGCATCAAGTAAGGTGAACCGATTAATAGTCTGGGAGAAATCGACTACCAATCGTTTCTTTTTATTAGGTGACGAAGTTACAACAATTTGAGCACGTCACGGAGAGTAACTTGTTTCAATTATATCATCCTCAAGCAGTTGTAGAATTTCTTTTTCAATGAACCGAGCATCCTCCGCACGGTAATTTCGGGATTTAGTAGCAATAGGTTTGCAGTCAGGGGTCAAGTTTCGGAACAACTTAACAGGAGCACAACTGTGCAGATTTTTAGAATATCCTGAGATCCACCAAAAGAAATAGTGATACTCTGGTGTAGTTTTAAGAAGTATAATATCCATACAGGAATCAGGAAGTACTGTAAAGTCAATTTGTTTATATTCGTAACCATTGAAGATAATGTCCTCAGTACAATATACAGATAGTTTGAGGGAAATGGCAGATGATGCCATGGAAATTACGGAATTCCGTTTAAAAGTAGACAGTTTCATTGTTTTAACAATACGGGCACTGATAAAGTTATCAGAACTACCGGTGTCTATGAGGGCAGTTAATCTCTCTCCTTTTAATTCTAAAGTTTTAGTGATTGGAGGAGACCTATCATCGTCTTTAGCACGGGCTACTATAATAGCTGAGGTAGAACGTGAAGGTGCCGGCATGGTAGAATGGCAAACTTTAGAAAAATGACCGAGTTTGCCACAGTTTCGACATATCTTATCACGGGCAGGACAATAGCGACGATTATCCTTAAAGTGACGTTTCCCTCCGCAGTTGTAGCACTTGCCACGAGCAAGGGCAGCAGACAATTGTACAGAGTCACACTCCGTACGAGAATCAGTTAAGTCAGAAAGCATATTTTTAGTGATAGTAGTGGAAGTGGCCTCCTCGGCAGAATCAGCAAACACATTTTTAGTCCTAGTGGTAGTAGCAGCGGCTGATCCAATCTGAGAAGCGTATGATTCAGCACGAAAGTGAGCCTGTTCTAAGGCTCTAGCACATTGAGTAGCCGCCTTGAGAGTTAGCATATCATTTTCAAGCAGCCTGGCACATATTACGGGGGACCGGAGACCACATATAAATGCATCACGGCCAGATTCATCCCTGTAAGTAGTAGCAGTAACATCTTGGAAGCAACAGTCAGCAGCAAGTCCATTCAAGACCTGGAGGTATTGGTCTACAGACTCATTTTCCTGCCGCAGACGTGTAGACAACAAATGTCTAGCACGAATAACACTTGGAGACTTGTCATAAACACTTTTCAGCAATTCAACAGCATGTTCAAATCCAGAACAACCCTCGATAACATCAGCAATGGTAGCACCGATGTTTAAATAAAGGACTTCGAGTTTGTCCGAGTTTAAAGAAGCAATAGTTGATAAGTAATAATTAAAATTACGGTACCATAGTCTCCAGAGCTTGCTAGCCTGAGGGTCTGCAGAAGATATATCAAACTTGTCCAGACGAATAATCTTGTCCATGAGGAGTTAAGTTCAGTAAATTGTTATGTAGTACAGAGAAGAAAGCTAGGATGGAATAACCTTTTCTTAAGGCTTCACTGAACTTAATTCACAGCAGTCAGTAAGCAAGAAAGTAAAGAACTCAGAATGAAAAGGAAGAAGAACGCAGCTTTTAAGAGGAATGGGAACGTGTGAAAAGTCACGTGGACAAGAAAGCTAGTTTCCTTTTTTTTACGAAAATATAACAACCTCCTGAAGCACTGAACCAATACCTTTTCCAAATAAAGATACAATGAGAGAGTTGCAGCAAATCTTTACAATATTTGATTCTACAAATTTGTCTATTCTTAATAATTGAGATTAAAGATCAAACTCTTACATATTTTTAGATATCATCTACAATATAGTTAGCATAAAAAAGTTTATAATATAAATTCAGCTTATTTGTTAATATGTATGTTAGTACATTTATACAAAAAGTATATTTTATTTACTTAGTGAGGATTTTTACTTAGGTATATTGTGCCTTTTGTTTTTAGCAGCATTTATAGTGGAAATTCAGTTTGAACTGTCAGTTACTTCAACCCTAACAGAAAGCATACTACTTGAAGATAGAAACAACAATTAAAGTTGGTAACGCATATAATTAGAAGAGGAAATAATGATATAATCAAGATGTTGATTTTCCACACTGTCAAAAATGAAAGATTGAAAAGGTAAGTCCCATCAATACTAGAAAGAATAATAACAGTGGATATGAGAAGCCTGAAAAACTGTTTTAAGAAAAAGATTTTTAAAATTTCAACTGACAATAACACAAACTGTTTAGCCAATGAATGCTAAATGTTTCCTGTATGGAAATGGATATTTTTACCATTACTATTACCAATAAGAAAGCTACAGAAAAAAGTGGAAATAGTAATTAGTAAACACATTTGAAGTAAAGATAGTATCAGAAACAATTTAGCTGCTTATATACTGTTGGTTGGTTGATTTTGTTTAGTGGACTATCAACCTCTATGGGTTATTTAATGCTGAAATCTAAATATTTTGAACACAATTGTATGCCTTCAACTACAGATAAAATGTATAGTTGATAATTTTGCTATAAAATGTATTATTATTAATTTTTTTTTATATATAAAAATGTATTGCTGGTATTCTTACCATAAAAATGTATCTTTATACTTTCATAGTATTTTGTTTGTGTTTTTTTTTTGGGGGGGTCACTATTTTCCCATAGCTAGGACCCTAAGAGGTGCTACCAACCAGGATCAGGACAGACTCTGGGAACAACAGCAATTAATAGGTGGTTGTATGCTCCTCAAAATCTCCAATCTCTTGATCAGAGGCCTTACTGCTGAATGTAGTTGTTTTCATACCCAGAACTAGTTTATATACAATAATATATCAACTAAAATGTTGTGGATTAGAACTGATAACAGCCAAGTCATGCACTTTAGATTTGCATTCAACTGGAACACACACACACACACTAAACCAGTGTTTGTTATTGATAAAGAAGTTGGTTGCTAAGTTATCAGATTAGTGATAAATGGGAGCTTGTGCCACTGAAGTGAACAAAATAAAATATATACATTAGAACAAAGTAATGTCTTCTCTTCCTTCAATGAAAAAAATATGGCCTCAAAACAGCTTTGTTTCAACAAGAGAAATTGGTGTTGAACAGAGATTGCAAATGAAAAGAAATATCAACAATATCCTGATGCATTAACAATTATTAACAACCAGCACACATATATATATTTTAAACAGTTAGCCTATATAAATGGAGCATCTTCCAAAAGTGTGTCAATAAATGCTATGTGTGTTTTGTTAAATTTACTAGCTTTATATTTAACATAATAAATATAATTTGCAATTATTATTTATTTCATTTATTATATATATTATAATTATTATTATTGTTTGACATATATGTATTATTCATTATTATTTCTTTCAACTTTTTCCACAGTTAGTGGTACTTATTTGTTATTGAACAACTAACCTAAAGATCATTTGTTTTATTTTCTGTTCTTGCTTAGCTAAAGTTATATTTATCAACTTTGCATTTTCTACTGGATCTGGAGAATGTTGAACAATTTCCATGCCTTGGTAGCATACTAACATCAAATACATCCGCTGAAAAAGACACTGATAATTGAATCAAGGCCACCCACACAACATACAGGAAGCTATTCAAAAGTGTCTTTGGCAATCCTTGGCTAACACAAATCACCAAGCTCATGCTCTACTCAGTTGTTGTAATCTTGACTTTCCTGTATGAAACCTGGGCACTCTACCAAAGAGACATTTGCAAACTTCAATGATTCCATCAAATGAAACTGTCAAATCCTGTGGAACACATGGCAGAACTGGATCATGAACAATGAAGTTCTCCTCCGGGAGAGCCTAGAAATCATCATGGCTTAGCACCAAGTTTGATGGACTGAAAACTTTGCCCAAATACCAGACATCCTCCTACCCCCAAAAATCCTCTTTTGAGAGCTTGCATTTGGCAAGAGAACATGTGAAGCCTCATGTCATTGATTCAAGGATCAGCTCAAAAACACCTTGCTTAGGACAAAAATCGATATGGTTAATAGGGAGATGGAATCTGCAGAAAGAATCAATTAGAGAGGAGCAGTCCATGCAAAAACAATATCCTTTGAAAACACCAGAAGACAAATAGAAGAGACAAAGAGAGCCCAAAGAAAAGCTGGAGCTCTCCATCCCTTGAATCCTCCTACCCTACCATGTGGTGGCTGCAGATGTTTCTTCAGATCCAACATAGAACTCATTTCACACAGAAGAAAATGTCTATGAGAACCGAGCAATGAGTTCCAACAATGATAATTTAAAAGTAAATGTTGAAATAGAGATCAGATGTTTTATGCTATAATCATTACATCCAGCATTCAATATTTTAGAGTGAATAGACATTTCTGGAAGACATTTCAATAATTTCTTTATCAAATAAAATAAAAAGCCTGTTGAGTGGTAAATTCTAATCTAAGCAACATACCACAATTCAGTAAGTTATTTAATTCAATTAAAATAGAAAGAAACTGTTTTAGAAAAATCTGTGGAAAGATTTTGTACATTCAATAATTTGGGCATACAAGCAAAAATGTCCTGCTGCCTCCATATTTAAGGGATATAAATATTGTGAATCAAACTGCTTTTAATAAAATCATTAGCAGCACATTTTTTTTTAAATATCTGATCTTTACAATTTTTAAAGCAACATCAAAAGCCTTAAACAATGCATTCATAATATCTGGTAAAAAGAATTTTTAATAACTTGTGTTTTTTTGTCTAAATCCTCTTTTTAATTTCTGTCTGAAGTTCTGGGATGAGGAGTTATCATTATTTACACTATTTGCATTCATACTATTGTCCTCATCTTTGTTGTTATTATCACACTGTTTCGCCTATTGCACCCTCTGGCCTTCATCAGGTGTATATCAATCTGGGTAACCTATACTGAATTCTGAACTAAACCCTTCATTCTAGGGATATCTTGTCTAGTTCTTATTTTTGTTCTGTCCAGTTAATGCTTGCCCTATTTCTACTGAGTCCAAATACACAATGCCCAGCCCAGTGATGACAATTATTTTCATCAAATTTCATGAATCAACACTTTAATCCGAGATGAGGACAACAGTCCAAATGTATATAGTGTAAATAATCCTCTCTGAAAGTTTGCATAAAATAATTATTTGTTCCACCATTAAAAACATTCTGGATATTATGTCAGTCTTTTTCACTTAAAGCATAGAACTTAAAAATGAAACTTCATTTGAAATGTTTACACATCATATATGCTTCAAGCAGACAAATTAACAGTGCAAAATATTAAAGATTTGTATGGTGAATGCACATTGGTACAGATGCAAAAGAGGCCCAGGATTGCATGCAGATATGTTCGTCAACACCAGTTACATCTGGATTTTCCCTATTAGCAGCAAGACAGCTTAGCATGTCTAGATATGAGCCTCTTTGCAACTGGTTAAAATCCGGGTCTTTGTAAAGATGCCTCATGCTAATAGAAGCAATGAGAAAACTAGCAGTCAGCAGTTGGTAAAAGACAGTGTCTTGTGAAGTCAGTCCCATGGACATTTTTGTTCTTGAAGTTGTTGTGGTTTCCAAGGCAGCATTATTTTTATTAGCTCTCATCTCTTTTCCCTCTCTCTCCCTATTACTACCCATAGTTGCTAGGAGAGCTATTGGTTAGGTGTCTCCCCCCCAATCTCAACACATTCTTTGCTTACATTACAAGAATTTTCCTAAATTCTTAAGATGGATTTCTTTGCTCAAACTAAAGTTATTTTTATCTCTGTATGTGATGGGAAGAAAAATCAAAAAAGACATGGACAGATGTTTCCTCTGCAAAGGAAATAACACTCTTATAAAATTGATGTATATTGTCACAATGAATTTTACAAAGAATTTGATTCCAATTTCTTACTATGATGAATCAATAAATCTATAGCTTGACAATGAAAGGCTATCAAAAGTCGCCTTTAACTAGAAACAGTAGGGTAAAAATTATGTCATAATTG